GTAGTAATTTATCTATATTATTTTTAACAAAATTTTATTGAAATAAAAACTAAAATCAAATTATTGAAGAGCACTATGTAAATATAAAATATTATCTATTGTTTATTGCTATTGTGTCAATAATTTCATTAAAATACAGCCATACTTCATCATTCTGCTTTTTTTTTGACATTTTAATTTCATTCTCCTTTTTTTCAGGTTAAATTTAAAAATTTATTTCCTTTTTGTTTTTAAAAAAAAAATTACAATATTTCAATAATGTAACGCGACAAAATTAAAATTTTCCATATTTTCTTTATAAAATACAATTAGAGGCTCAAATTTAATTAAATTTTAAAAAAAAAATCCGGGCTGATGCTTTGTACCCGGACCCGGCCCGTTGCAGGTCTCTAATCTATAACAAATAACGCGTTAAAAAATATTTTTTTCAACTTTTCATTTTAACTTAACAATTAAATAATGGTTTTAGTATGTTATCAAGAAGTTGTCAAAAATTATGAAAATTTTCTTGAAATTGACGAAGGATGTGATGTGATTATATATGCCGGTGAAAATTTAAACGTTAAAGAACTACATGCTAATTCAAAAATTTTACGTATCATATAAACAATGTTACTAGTATAAAGCATATTTCAGTTGTGGACTTGTCGAAATCAGAGGGTCCTTCCTGAATTATACCATCCTGGGATTTTACAAAATTAATTTATCAAATTCAAGTCCTTTACAAAATTATATAATTTGTCTTGTAAAAATTTGTGAATTCCCTAAACTTTGATTGGAATTACTTTTGAAGCAGGGTGATTTAGGTTTAGAATCATTTCTATTGATTTCACCAAATGGAAAATTCAATTATCGAAAGAACACTTCATATATATATTCTTTTTATTAGATATTTTTATATTTCATCATTTCATCAGAAAAAATTTCTTGTAGAAAATTACTGATCAATCAACGTTAATTTGGCATAATATACAACCATTTTAGTTTGTGTTACGATGTTTGATTTAAATTTTCGCGCTAGTCGAGATGGTATGTGATAAAAAGGAGGCTTTTATTGACATAATAAATTCAGAGCAACTGGTTTGATTTACATAATCGTTATAAGCCAACCAAGGATATTTTTTATAATCGCATTTAAAAATGAAACGGTACATCAATCGGTTAAATTAATGTGATGAATTGTCTATAGGTTGTTGGGATGGTTACGAGCCTTTTTTGGCTACATCAATGATTTATATATATTTATGATGGTCGTTGCTGTGCGGTAGCTCATGTTATTCTAATTTTGGTATACCTGCAAGTTTAAGTGGATGATTATAAAAATATAAAAAATAAATTATAAAGTTTTTGATTTATTTCAATTATATACGTTCTGTATTTTAAATTGCGTCATCGTTTAATTATGTGACACATTGATGCTAACCCACAGATAAATGAAGTTCCAATCTAGCTAAATAAATTTCCAGGCGCACAAAATAATTTCCTGATTTGTATATAACAATAAAATATTTAAAAAAAAAATTATTTTTCAATTTTACACTTTTAACTTAAAATAAATATGTCGTTAGAATGTTATCAAGAAGTTGTCAATGATTATGAAAAATTACTTGAAATTGACGCAGGACATGATGTAATTATTTACGTCGGCGAAAATGAAGACGTTAAAGAACTACATGCTCATTCAAATATTTTACGTATTAGGTCGCAATATTTTCAAAATGAATTAACTAAAGAAAATGTTGAGAAAAGGGAGGGAAAATTTATTATAAAATTGCCCAATATTTCTTCGCAACTTTTTAAAATTATCCTTAGGTAAATGAAATAAATAAATATTAATTATGTGAAAACTGTTTCTAATATACACGTTTTCTTTTGTAATTGCAGATTCATATATTGTGGAAAGATTGACTTGACGAAATTAGAAGGTTCTGAATTATTAAAACTATCGGTAGCAGTCGATGCACTTAAGCTCCAATCTTTAATGTCCCGAATTAAAGAATGTTTAATTAATGATCAATATGATCTTTTGCAAATTAATTGTCAACACGAGTCCATTGCAGAATTATTGAATGTCTATATCGAAAGAATTTGTGCAGTTCCCAAAGCGTTATTTAATTCCGAAAAAATGATTAGTATAAAAGAACCATTATTGGAATTACTTTTAAAACGAGATGATTTATGTTTAGAAGAAATTGATATTTGGAATAGTTTAATTAAGTGGGTCTTTGCTCGGAATCCGACTATTCCTAAAGATGTCACCAAATGGAGCACTGTTGAAATTGAAAAAATGGAAGTAACTATTCGCAGATTTATCCATTCGGTTAGGTTTTATCATATTTCTTCAGAAGATTTTCTTGAAAACGTACTTCCTTTTAGAAAATTACTACCAGAGGATTTAATTAATAATCTCTTAAAATTTTATTTGGCACCAAATAAGGAATCAAATATCAATATTGACAAACAACCGCCTAGATTTTCATTAAGCTCAATATTGATTAAATCTCGACATTTTGTCATATTTTCGAGTTGGATCGATAGAAAGAACGATTTGTATTACATGCCTTATAGGTTTAATTTAATTTTTCGCGCTAGTCGAGATGGTATGACACAAGCAGCATTTCATCAAGGATGTGATAACAAAGGTGCTACAGTTGTTATAATAAAAATAAAAGGTTCAGAGCAAATTGTGGGAGGATATAATCCACTTGAATGGGATTCAAGGCAACATTACAAGTCAACCAAGGATAGTTTTATATTCTCATTTAAAAATGAAACGAACAGTCAAACTGTAAAGGTAGGTTATAGTAATGGTGATGGATGTTCTATAGGTTGTTATTCTAATTATGGACCTATGTTTGGCTATATCAAAGATTTAGTATTTCATCATGATGGTCATTGGTCGAGCAATAGGTATTGTTATCCTGATGTTGGTATACCTGAAGAATTTCTTGTGGATGATTATGAAGTATTTCAAGTTATTAAAAGATAAATATGTGTATTATTTATATGGGTCTTTATTTTCTACGCACCTGCACAAAATTTAGGGTGTGTTATATAATAGGTGACAAATAAAAATTTTCTATAAAAAAAAAAAAATTCTAAGTCCCCAGAATAAACCGTAAAAATGAAACACTTAGGTTGTGATGCGTTGTGATAAATGACCCCTAACCCTAACCCTAACCTAACCCTAACTCCGCTTCAACATATATAAATATAGGGGGGTGCATTTTGTGCAGGGTGCTTAAAATACAATTTCACTATTTAAATTATTTGGTAATTTATTGTTACGTTTATTCAATAAAGAAATTTTTTGAAGAAACAAAAGTTTTTGAGAACTTTTTGTACCTATATTGATTATTTAGTTTCGACAGTTTTTCTCGAAATCTTAAAGGAAATTTTCGTGTGTTAAATTATTGTGCACGTTAGCAGTATCGAAAATGAAAATAATACAAAGGTTTCGATATTTTCAAATTTTTTTCTGCAGTATCGGCGGCAAAGCCAAAACCTTTGATATTAAAATGAGATTTTCAATATCCCAAAGTAAAGTTCATTTCGGGTACGTGACTTATATTATATGTAAATATAGTTCAAGAGAATTTTCATAAATTTATCATATAGAATTATATGACCGCAAAATTGTACCTGCCTCATATGATGAAAATGTTTAATAGTTAATATATTGAATCATTTATTGTTATAGAAAAAGCGTAGCTTAGTATTAATCCAGGATTTTAAATAAATAGTTGGCCTTGAGTCGACAGCGTTTTTCAGATAAAGTTTCAGAATAAGTCTTGGGACTAGACTTAAAACTCTATTTTACACTTCTTTCAACCTCCTTCTTGTCTTCATATAGGTTTTGATCGTGATAATCGACTACACAAGAAGGTAATTAAGATTTCATTGCTAACTATAAAGAACATTTTATTAATGCTCTTCCTTTATATTACGAACTTTCGGAACGGTCCTTGTAAGGTAGATATTTGTAAAACTCCGAAGTACTACTCCTCAATAATCTTCACAATACTACACCACATAATAAAACGTAGACTCTACGCAATTAAACATACTAAATTATTTCCTGATGAAAAGTTTTTTTTTTTGAATTAGTCATGATATTTCTGTTTTAAGCAGAAATAAACATTATTTGCTTGTTCATCATATCTGCATAAGAATTTATCACCATAAATTTTTGGACGTTCAACCAATCCATATTACTTGATTCTCACAATCTGTCGCTACGACAAACTTCTGATACATAATAATCAAACATCACATTACTCGTTAACCAAGGTTCAAACCAAGTAAATCTTTTTTACTTAACTATCCTGTTTTACAAACACCTGATCTAATATCGGATATTTTATACTTAGAATAACTATAACGACGAGTAAACCATAAATATCGGTCGCTACACATGTCAGCGAAATAATTTTCATCATTACTATGTATTTTTGTCACAAATAACAACTCATTCCTAAATTGTTTTGGTGGTAATCGTGGTTATCTTTATGCTGGGAAAAGTTTAATGTGATAATACGCGATAAGACGGTAAGTGGTTAACCAAATGAGTATTATATTTGATGTTGAGTATGACTTTTCATACTACTGTAAATCGCTAGAAATTAAAGGTAGGGTTAGGGCTATGGTTCGGAGTTTTAGTATAATCAAATCAATTAAACCACACAATACAATACTCATTTGGTCAACCATCCTGCGTATCACTCTATAATATTAGCAATTAATTTAATTTATTCTTGGGAGGTAACGTCAATTGTTTATGTTTTCTACAAAATATAATTTTTCAATTGGAAAATCAGATTTCAAAAAGTTTACTTTTTATTTAATTTTATTGAATAATATATAATTAAAATATTTAATTAAACTTAACAAATGGATATATAATAAAATAATTTAATGTTGATCTCACGTCGAATTTGAAAAATTTAAATCGAGATATATTAATTAAATAGTAAGTAATCTCCTTATCGCAGAATTTCAAATTAATAGTTAATAATTCGTTCTCGCTGAATACGGTGAAAGTAGTCGGTTTGAATACAGCGAACACCTGCAATGCATTTTGCACATATATCTTCTTTATGAGATGTGCCATTCAAATATGAACGTACTAAAGGTTCGTAATTCAAGATGATTCCATCATGGTCGCATTTCTTGCATCCCGTGTAATTTCTGCGTTTATCACGGCATTCAAAGCATCTTTCGCGTTTATCCTTGCATGCATTGCATTTTTTTCGCATTTTTACGCAATTCTTCTCTTTGCAAAAGTTTTTGCATGCAAAACACTTTTGCTTGTAAAAATCGTTTGGACTAAAATAAACTGCTGGAGTTTGCTCTAAATACTTTCGGAGTGATATCCAAGTGTAAGAGCTATGCCATTTATGAGAAAACGGTTCACATTTCCATTCGGAGATCACTCTATAGTGATTGTTCCATTCTAGGTGACAGATGATCTCGATGGTAGGCACACTCTGTGGAAATTTAAATTAGATTATAATATATTTGAACGGAAAAATACTTTCGTAATCGACTCGACCTACGTTTGAATGCCTTGGTGGTTGGTCGTATAAAAAGAAGCTCGTTATCAGGCTCCTATTTTTGCACTTCTCGCATGGCTTGGTGAAAAAAGCGTGTTGAAGTCTTGGAGGTAACTTTAGAAACGTTTCAAGTGATTTCTGAGGATATTGGATTTGCCATCCAACTTCATTTCTACATTTTCTTGACCATTGGCATAACCAATTGCCGTACACTATATAGTCATCATACTGTAGTAGATGATTAACGATTTCGGTAATCTACAAGAATATATGTTAGCGGGAATGCGAGAAATTTTGGCATAATACAAAAGTGAAAATTGCTGTAATCATTTAGACCTGCTTGACATTCTCCTCCTTGAAGCGAGTCTATAAAATAGGATATTTAGATTAGCATGCGGTTTGCAAGAATTCCCGGCATGTAATTTGATTGAACAAATACCGAGTCGATATGGTAGTGGAGAAGAGGAAAGATTATCTCGTCTTTCGGCTCTATCTATGGAAATTTAAAGTAGAATATAAGAAATCATAATTCTGAACAGCAAAAATTTACGTAATTATTTTGACCTGCTTGAAATCCTCCGCCTTGATGCGAATCTATAATACAGGATATTTAGGTTAGCATGCATGCTAACAAGCATTCCCGGTCCGGAGTCGGTTCCGGTTCGATTTTTAAAAATTGGTTAAAAATGGTTTGTAACTCAAGAAAAGCCAGAATAGAGACTGGACTCGTATTCGTTTAACTCGAGTCAACTCGAGTTTAATTCTGATTCGAGTCAAGATTTTCTTGATTCGAGTCAGAATTCGAGTTGACTCGAATTAAAACTACTCGAGTCAACTCCAAATTTATGCTATATTTTATAAATAACATGTAATTCTTTTCTTAAACTGCATTTATTAGCATAATATAATTAACATTTATTATATAATCATTGAATAAAAATTTTTTAAAAAAATTTCCTTTAGTTCGGCCCCAAAAATATCACAAAATTTTGGCCCGCATTGTACTTTTCCGGCCCGCATTATTACTTTAACTCGAGTTTGACTCGAGTTTCTGACTCGAATTTCCAACTCGAGTACTCTTCGAGTCAATAATTTCTTGATTCGACTTTGACTCGAGTTAACTTTTCTGACTCGAGTCCAAACTCTAAGCCAGAATATGCTGAAATTATAATCGGTTCCAGAACCGGAGTCGCTCTTTTTTAACCGTCCACATCCCTAGTTTCAACGGGTCTACTGGAAAATCTTTCTTAAAATATTATTGGATTAACAAATCCGAAATATATGGTTTAAACATTTGCCATTTGCTAAAATGAGTTTTGCCAGTAAGACAACTACACATGTGAGCATTTTAAATGGAATATAAAATGCGAATAAATTAATATATTTGTCAGTTTCGTAGGTCATGCATGCGTTGGATAAGAGAAAAATATTGGTCGCAGAATCTGAATAATAAATCTGCTTATTGTCGAAATCTTTTTTTTTGTTTAACCTATATTTTTTATTTCTAATTTAGAAAGAATTAATTTTTCACATGAAACTACAAAACAATAATATTTGATACATTGTTTAATAAATAATAATAGATTAAATGTTCTATAAATTTGTCACTAATTGAGATTCAAATAGCAATATAAGCTATGAAATACGGGTAAAGATCAAACTACATGAAATACTTCATAATCATCAATGTTAAATGTATTAGGAATATTAAGGTTAGGGTAAGTAATGGGCGTAGAAGTCCATTGTCCATTATAAAACACAATATCATGATTATAGCCAAAAATTGGTCCATAATTATTATTACATACTATAGCATGTTGCTCTTTACCTTTAATTACTCTACCTAGTTTACCTGTTTTAACATCTCTATAATCATTAAAGACAAATATAAAACTATCTGACGTAGTTTTATAAGTACCTTGGCCAGCAGGGACATTCCAATCTAACGGATTATATCCTCCAACGATTTGATTGGAATCCTTAATTTTCGCGACAAAAATAGTAGACATCTTATCATCACATTTATTATGAAATATCTTTGTATCCATTCCGTCTCTACTAGCACGATAGAGCAATTTGAAATTATGACGATAATTTCTTGAATTATCAATCAAATCATCTTTCTTATCAATCCAATTGGCAAATTGGTCAAAATATTGAAGTTTAACTATAACGGAGCTATAAACATAATTTGGTTGTCTAGCAGGTAATATATCATCTCTTGATACACGATTTGGAGTCATGTGAAATGCAAAGATGTTCTTGAACAAATCTTTTGGTAGCAATTCTTTAAAAGGAAACACCATGTCAAGAAAATTTTCTGGCGTAATATAATAAAACCTTATTAACGGAATAAATCTATTAAGAACCCTCTCTATGATAGTGAAGTCTTCCTTGCTCCATTTAGTAACGTCTTGTGGAATAGTAGGATTTTGTGCGAGACTCCATTTGATTAAGCTATCCCATATAATAATTTCATCTAAGTTTAAATCATCTCGTTTCAAAAGTAATTCCAGCAAAGGTGCTTTTAAACTAATCAATTTATCGGAATTAAATAATAATTCTGGTTCGCTACAAATCTTTTCAAGACAAAATTTCCAAAGCTCTGTGAATGATTCATGTTGATAAACTGTTTCAAGAATACCTATAGGATCTTGGTGTACAAATTCGGATTGATTTTTAATTACGTATTCTTGAATACAGGGAATTAAAGTTTGTATGTTAAGTTCGTCTACTACCAGCAAAAGTTTTAGAATATCAGGACCTTGTAATTTCGTCAAATCAATCTTTCCACAATAAATATATCGTATAACCATTTTAAATAATACGGGGGAAATATCGGGCTTTTTAAAAATCAATTTTCCATCCTTTTTCTTGGCCCACTCATTTGAGAATGCTGAGCGAAAGTATTGAGACCTGGTACATAAAATATTTGAGTGCGCACGTATTTCTTCTTCGTTTTCATCTTGACCGGCAAAGATAATAACATCATGTCTATCACCAGTTTCAAATAAATTATCATAATCATTAATAATTTCTTGCCAATGTTCGTAAGACATTTTAAATATCGTTCTGTAACAAATTTTTTTTTACCCCCTAATATTGTTATAACAGATAATGAACACCAGTTTGGAAATCTTTAGCCTTATTTTGGTCGCACCGTAGTTCACGTGATATAAGAATTTATTTATTCCATAGCTTGGCGCAGTTAATCCTAACAAAATTGAAGAAATATTTCATAATAATCAGTACTAAATTTTCTTGAGATATTAGGATATGTATTTGTTCCCGAACTCCATTTTTTGAATATGTTAAATCGTTACCAAACTTATATTATCATGATTGATATTTCCAAAAATTGGACCAATCCCTTTTTTTACATCGCTAACATTATAAACGAAAAAAATAAAAGCATGCATAAAACTTATTCAAACAAAAAAATGTCGCTGCTTTAACATTATATTTCTCATAAACGGCATTGACTTCGAATCCATACGTAAACAAAGTTAAATTCAATCCATGCGAAATTAGTTTGATTCTTTATCCTTATGATCTAACCATACAATAGACGAGTCAATTTCATCAGTACTGATCCTGTTTAGAAGAATATGCAAAGTGTCATTTTTGGGTAATAACATTTTGTAAGGGATTGATTACCTCTAACTATCTTGATAAAAAATTTTAAAGTACGCGGAATTTTACTAATGCTAGGATGTTGTGCATGTATCCACTTCAATTTCATTAAGTGAAAGATGTTCTTGTTGGCCAAAAATCCAGATTCTTGGTCTAATTTATTTTTAAAGATTATTAATCAAAAAATGGTTTCATCAGCTGATCAGATCAACTCACGTGATACTAATAAATTAAAAAAGAATTCTTTCTCTCTTCTTTTGTTACCATAACAAGCCTGGATGTATGATTTTAAGCAAATAAAATAGTTGCTTAAATATTTTCATTTATAAAAACTTTTTACAAAGAAATAGCAAACAAATTTAATTTAAATAACAATTATTAATTATGTTAAATATTCTAATCATCAACTTTTTTAGGATTTTTAACGCTCAATGATATTAATAACGATATTTGTTGCACATAATTGATAAACCATCTTGCGGACTAGAATTATTAAATTAGATTTGAATACACCTTTATTATTAAATTTGCTTAAATAGTTCAAATGGACACTAAAGAAATAAATATATATCAATATTAAAATAAATATCAATAGATTTCAAATATTCTTAAAGACTTTCCAATTTACTATTGAAATAAAAAAATCAATACCAACCTTTTATTGGAATAAAGGGCAGTTTCAATTTTCGATAGTTTCAGACATATTCTTATTGGTTCTGAGCAACCAATGATGTTGATGCAATTTCTTTTTTTTTAAAAAAGAAAATACTCAATAAATTTTTATTTTTATGTATATTAATTTGATATCTTTAATTAATTATCGTATCTGTATTTCTATGAAAATTGCTTACTGAAATAAAAAAGATTTTATTGTTTAATGCGAAAATGTGGTTTGGTAATGTTGGTCACCATTAATTTCGATCCGTCTTTTGCAGAATCGTAATACTCGTATTTTATTATTACAATCTATACCTTTATCTCGCATCCAATGACGTTTAAATACTTATAAGTCATTATATTGTCCTTCCTTTGTTGAAATTATGTTTATATTTTCATAAAGATGTTTAACGTAGCAAAGTAATAAATTTTTTTTTTTTTTTGATATGTACTGTACATTGCCTGTTGTTTTGTTAATTAATGAAATAAAAATAAAAAGAAGGTATCTCGGGCGGGCCACCCATTCGCACTAACCAAAACTCTAGGTCATATTTCCCAGATAAAATATGCCCATTTTCAACCTGTAAGTACTAGATATCCTCATCAATTTCTATTTAAATCCAATGTACATACAAGAAAAAATAGAACACGAGTTAAAAATTGAAGGGGTCTTAGCAAAAAAAAAAAAAAAAAAAAAAAAAAAAAAAGAGGAAGAATAATAATAATTTTGGTTCTACCTTCTTTTTGAAGTTTGATTTCTTGAGTTTGGACGAGCAAAAAAATGCGAAATATATATTGAAGATTGTTCGACGAAAGGATTTCACCTTGTTTTATGTGAAAAATTAAAGTATAATCTGTGTATTTATCCTTTTATTTATTTTTTACACATGTTGCGGTTTATGATTGTTATATAGTAATAATTAAAGACGCGTAATTTACCCAATGGTATTACAAAATAGCTGTTCAATTAAGAGGTTACGGATCATATGATTCACTTTTGATAATTTCAATACAACGCTTGTGGTGAGGTTATTTTGCGTTGGTTTCTCAATTGTTAGATTTATTAGATAATAGTATTGTTGTATTTTAAGCAGAAGTATTTTATTGAATAAAAATGAAGTAATTGTGACGCTAAATTTATTTAGTATCAACTTCTGCGCACTACACTTTCGTCAATATATTAAACAATGCCAATTACTAACTATACTAATTAAAACTGCGCAATTACAAATATGGGATTTTAAAAATAAACGAAATTAAACATTAAACTTTATAATGTTAAAATGGTGAAAGCGAATATATCGCAAATGAAGAAAGGAATGTTTAAGGTGTATGCAATGTAAGAAGGGCAATTGTGGTTTGTTTATATATATAATAAAAATTAGTTAGAACGGCCTGCAGGTACCAACTACAATTATCGAAAACAAATATATAGCGAAATTACAATGTGGCCGTGGATGTAAAACCTATATAATATAGTTATGGTTTCTACGGTAAAGTTGAAAATTTTTTTATTATTAAAAAAAAATTTTTTATTTTTTTTTTCATTGTTCATTATCGGCCCAGATGTATTAATAAATAAATGGTCATCTCGCGTTCTAACAGGTTGTAAACCGCTACTAAATACGTTTCAATCCATGTCACAACTAAATCATTTTCTATTATTAATAATGTATCTAAATTTTATTCACGATCATAATGGAGTTGACTCTACTAATTTTTTACAGAGATGACTCACCGGCTCTAACGGCTTGCATAACTAGTTATAAAAACTAATTAACTAGCGTAATATAATGTGCAAGTGTAGTATATATAATTGCTCAAGTTCTTCACAAAATTTGTGAAAATTCTATCTTTAATTTATGCTGATCTTTATTAAAAAAAAATATTTCGAAGTTTTATTTATTTTGATATGATGGGTAAAAAAAGAAGTGAAAAAACTTATGAACAAATAATCGAACATTCATTACATAAAATTGATACAAGAAGATGAAACAATGAAATGTGAGGTGAAAGGAAAATTCCTTACGTTTAAAGAAATTGGGATTAATGAAAAATCGTCTAATCACTTTTTCCTGCTTCAATACTGACAAAATATTATCTAACCCAATTATATGGAAGATTTTTTATCCTTCATATTTTACAATCTAACTTAAAAGTTTTTACATAAAGAAAGCAGATTAAAAAAAAAAAATAAAATAAATAACCCTTCAAGCGAATTTTCAAAATCTAATCCTATATGTGATACTTCTGAATGGCGTGTTTTCAGGAAAAAAAAATTTTTAATAAATTAATTCTAAATAACTTTAATTACTGTATATTTTTAGAAATTTGATAGAAAAACAAATTTGGAACTAAGGCTTAGAAGAGTAAAACGCCTAATAAGAAAAGTACAATAATGGACGTTTAAATTCGGTCAAAAAATAATTAAACGCCATAGTCAGTATAAGTAAGGTAAGTAGAGTTTAATGAATTCCATTATTTGACAATCGTAGTTGTACTGCAATACCCTTCTTAATTGGAATTTATTTTCCAGTGTGCTTTCCTATTATGATTAAAATTTGAATTTATCAATTTTAATTTAAAATCTGAAGAGTACCTTATGAGTTCTTGGCGTCCGTCATTGGTAACCCTCAAAAAACAATTTTGTAGGTTTCACAACATAAATCTATCCCGAGTAATTAATTTTTCATTGGGGTGCGCGATAAAAAATTGTTTACTAAAATCAATGTATTACCATAATTTCATAACTATAATTATCTATGTTCTAAATTCTACAAAAATATTCTAAATCAAAGTCTCTTTCATGTAACAGCTCGTTTTTCAAAAAAAAAAAAAAAAAAAGTTCATTTGTGTTGGTAAAATAATAAAAGTAATTCTTTCAGGCACAGCTCTTTTGGAAAAATTTTGTCTTGTATTTTTTTCAAGAAAGCGTGTCATATTTTTTAGGTTACCGTATTTATTTTGTATTTATTTAATTTTTTTTATATTATTTAAATGTAATTACGAAGTTATCGAACTTTTAGGTTTCGGATTTTTTTAATGAGAAATGACGTCAATTGAAAAAGCGCGTGAAATAAATCAAATAGTAAATTTATATGATACCATATATTGTCGTTTCATTAATCACAATCAAAATAATGGATAACATTTGAAATTGATTTATTATTTATAAAATTCACAATTTTTTATTTTATACAGTATATTCCATTGTTGTAATATATTCAATTATTAAAAGAAAAATAGGTAAAGTATGAAGTTGAAAATTTAAAAATTCGATTTTCTAAATTAAAAATTTAAAGAATGCTTATATATATTAAAAGAGGGCATTGCGTTTCGCTTATTCAAATTCGATTTCGATTCACTTCTTTCCTTCATTACGAAAGCCAATCCACGTTTATTACCACATTCTGGAAGACCTTCGTGCTCATCACCCCAAATATTATCTTGAACGGATTCCTTCAATTTATGTTCTTTGAAGTAATCAATGAAAATCTTGACCATCTTTCTCCAGCATGGATCGCATTGGAATGATTTTGGTACAGGGATTTTCGTTCCATCTCCTTTGATGACGAATTTGTGATCATGAGTTACAATAGCCTTTGGATCAGCGTTAGTTGCTTCCTTCATCCAATTAACGAATTTCCTGACGAATTTGATACTGCAGTATTCTGTAAGATTATGAAAAAAAAAAAGATTTTTTTTTTTAATTGATATGCATTGATAAGATGTTTTATGATCGCGCAGAATATGATAATCATTACATACCACCACCATTTTCCTTTAAGCAGAGAGCTTCATGACTTGGGATTCCAGTGTAGTAAACGAGTAAGGTTCCATAAGCGGCGTAAGCGGTCTTATCAGTGAAAGTTCTAGGATCAGCACTCCAATCGAATTTAACCGATAATTCTTTGTAACAAACTTCTTGAATGTTGTTGTAAATCTTTTCGACTTCGTTTTGTTTACAATCGAATCCTTGGTGACAGTAGTCCACAAGGCCTTCCTCAAAGTATTGAAGTTCATAAGGTTTCGGTGTATCATTGGCATCCTTGATAGCTTGGTAAATCTTCTTTCCTAAATTGATAGCCGTAGCACATTGTCCAGGGTCTTTGAAATGACTCCACATGAGTTTTTGACAATCGTTGCAATAATCGGTATCGAACAGTTCTTCACAAGATTCAGGGAAATCGTATTCATAATTCTCGTATTCATCGAAATTGGCTTGAACTTGGATTATGAAAATTGCGAATACCGCAAAGAGAAGAAGATCCTGAAGTTTCATCATTGATTTATTCTTTGTGATATCTTTTTTTTTATTATTATTATTATTATTTACTTTGGAGGAATGGATTTAACACCTTGGATCAGGCGAAATGGTTGACCTTTTATATATATTCCAATCTCTGCGCCGTCTTCCCAACATCAAAATCGATGTGTAATATTTCGTTCAGATAAAAATAGCTTTTTTTTTTTTTTTGTCATTCCCGATTTGTTATAGCAAGCTTTAAAAAACTATTTTTTTTATCTTTATTGAATCTAATATGGAAAAGCTAAGGACCTGATCATTAGTGATTTAGGTAATCGGCGGAGTAAGTTGATCTGCAGCCCTCACTAACCTTTTTTTGGAATTTTATGCTTGAGCTTGCATTATTGTTTTTTGCTAATTGTTAATTTCCTGGTTTTTTTTATTGTGCAAATGAGATCGGGTGGGTTACGTAAATCGATGACCCCGCCCTGACAACATTTCATTTATGGATTCATGGATTCTTCAAATTAAAATGAAATATTAACGGTCGGTTTAACGATTAAAGATTCTCTATGACTGGACTTTCTAAATGCAAAACATGGATACAATTAATTTAAGAATTACATTTCATTCAGATAATAAAATAATATACGTATTGTGTAATGTTCGATTTATTTACAACCAATAGAAAAAAAAAGAATTCTTATTTTAGGCAACAAAAAAAAAAGCCAAAAGAAAAAAAAAAAAAAAAAAGGTTGAAAAAGTTTATTTAAAAACCCTTATTTATCAAATGGGGATGCATGAGAATGTTCGTATCCAGGATTCGGATTTGTTTGTTTTTGTTAATATTGATAGTGACTGTACTGTACGTAATAAATTTTCTTATGCGAATTCGCCTTTTTTTTTACTTTTTTAATATATCAATCAAAAAATGTCTTGGCTTATGGCGTAAGTTTTGCTTTATGAGGTCTTACAATGCAAAGGTTCTAAAAAACTTTCACTTTTCTTGTTGTTACCATGGAATTTCTACAAAGAAGTTTTTTTTTTTTTTTTTTTTTTTTTTTCGAAAGTTCTTTATCCTCGCTATGTATACAATTTTGAAATTGCCCAAATAAGTATACATTGATTTGAATGTATAATTGTAATCGTTCACACAACATGTTGAAAACAGGATTGGCGTACTTGTATTTTTCTGATCAGAATGGTTAAAGTATTTATGTAAAGTCAACAATCAAAATTTAATAATGGTAACACAAAGTAAATGACTACATTTTGGAAAAGGAATATGTCTAGAATGAATAACTGAAATAATCCATGGTCATGAATATTCAATCAATCACAAGGTTGTAATCAAATCACGATTCTCAACACATGAAATCGCTTTGCAACGCCCCGAAGCATTTTGATGATCTGACCTTCCTTTAATCGCTTACTCATGGAGTTTATTTTGCGACGGTACATCGTACATGGATCTGCAATGTCCAAACTCGAATTTGATTAGACATTTTTTTTTTTGTCTCGGCGTCCGCGGGATCCGCGCGATGAAAATATGCAATTTTTTTAGACTCCATAAAATATTATCACGTAAAAATATCATCACAAATCTTGTCAAAATACAAATAAAAAAAAAAGGAGCTCATAATAACATAATAATTTAGAAAATGAAATGAAAATATTCAAGTGAACAATACCGAAAAATCAATCCAAACAAAAACAATTACTCAACTCTCATTTAGGCACATGGATCAACTTTAAATACTACTAGGCGTTTATTGTTCTAAAAAGTCTTTTCCATTATAATCAGCCTAATCAAAGGGGCAACTGATCGAAAAAAAAAAAAGATATTGTTCATTAAAAATGACTTCATGAGAACCTTATGACCCCGAGAAACTGCGCATCGCCATGTTTTTTGCTTGAGTTATTTTTATCGATTTCTTTGCAGAACAGTATAATATGACGCAGTGCCAGTTGATTTATTTTATTCTTTAGCAGATTGAACCCTTCAAAAATATGTATAACATATAACTACGACTGATTTGTCAATCAAAAAAATTTAAATATAACATATCAGTCACAAAAGTTCATTGGATAGACAATTAAATTATTTATTTATTTACTCGCAGAAATCTGCGGACAGCTATTTCAAAATCAATTCCGCAGAAATCTTTGCGGACTCCAAAGAAAAAAAAATTCTTTCCGCACAAATATTTTTAGACTTAAAACTTTAGCATATCCACAGACTTTTTTTTTATTCAATTAACGAAAAACGTCTGTCGCTAAGCTACCATATGATTGATTGAGTTGTTGTACACTTTACAATATAGTCTCGAAAATTCGCGTGTTTAATTATAACTATTGATCTTTCACACTTGATATTTCTTAAATTTCTATTGATACGATCCTAACGTAAAAAAAAAAAACAGGTTAAATTATAAGCTGTTAATTGTCGCTTGAATTTTCGCGTCACACATGTTTCCTACTTTTGTTGATTCCAATTTGTGATTTATCGAAAATTAGAGCCATCCATGGAATACGCAAAAATTTTAAAAGCAGGTGCGATGTTATTGTTTATGTCGGGAAGAAACCAAATATTAAAGAAATTTCAAGCTCATTCAAATCTTTATCTTTGGTAAATTGTATACCACAAAATATTTATTACGATCTTGATTTGATTTAAAAGAAATAACCTAATCATTTATACATTTATTTAGGAAATATTGGAAGTATTGAATTTTTGAGATGTATCCTGGCGGTTACGAACTTATCTTCGAGAATTTCCGTCAAACATCAGACGGATTTTTTACACCAAAATCAAAGGTGGGAAACATTTTTTATTGATGACTGACCGGTTTCTGGAACGATCGATCATTTGACCAATTTGGAATTAATTGTATACAGTAAAGTATATTTAAATTTTTTTTTTATTTTTTTTTTTTAAAAAAAAATAAAATATGCCTGAAAGAAAAAGTAACGATCAAATTTAATGATCATTATTACGGATAAAGTATTAAAAAAAGTTACTTTTTTTACTTTATTATTTTAATTTTATTATTGGTTAGCCGGTCGATCGATCAAAGACCATTACCATTTTGAGAGCATCTTTAGAGGAATAAATAAAATTTAGAATATTTTGTTGAATTGTCGCATCAATCAGAGGCTAATATAGTAACAGATGTTCTTTTAATGATATTTCTTTTCATGAAGTATAAACATTATCACATGATTTAATTCATGAATTTCATATAGTTACAGTATCACCAAAAAGTCCAAAGTTTATCCAGAAATATTTCTCGCAATTTTTATAGATTTATTATCTTTATTAGAGAAATTATTTAAAAAATTTGCGTTAATAAATAACGTATGTATGGGACCTTTGCAACAGAAAAGGGGGAACCTAAAAATCATATTTGGCATATAAAAGTAAAATAGTTTTTTTCCCCTTTTCTATTACAAAGGTCCCATATATTTCTCCAAAATTTGAGCCGGACAGCCTAATACTATACAAAATATACAAAATCTGTATTTTATCTTTTAAAGCTAATAAAGCATAAGCTAACAAATCTATGTAAGTTTCTATAATGCCGTTAGCAATACACAATATCTTCTTTCAAGCCTAACATATATATTACTTGATACCACTTCACCTAAGTTTCAGTAAAATTTTATATTTAATAACTTATTTTCAACCATAAAATGAAATAAAAAATATATATACAGTATGTAACAAAAAAGACTTCAAGAAGCAAATGAACGAACTAATAATTTATTATATATATTTAAAATCTTATCGTACGATAAGAGTACCCAGATTATTGTGGTTATTTTTAAAAAATTAAAAATTTTCTTTTGCAAAGATGTCAGTTGAACATTATTACAACATTGTAAATTTTTTTTTTTTAAAAAAAAAATTCTAAAAAAAAAAAAAAAAAAAAAAAAAAAAGAATAAAAAAAAGTATTGAATTTAATAAACGAATTTACAATTTTATAAAATAAATTTTTTAGTTAATCGTTTACATTTGCTTTTAGTATAAAACCAAATAAAAACATAAGTTAATTAAACTCGTAAATTAAATAAAAACAAGGTAATAAATTTATAAATTCTTTTTTTTTTTTTTTCTTAAATTCAATTAAACCAATTCATTCCTGAGGCATTTTCGCAGTTAATTACATCAGTAAAATAACAACTAGGAAAACTTTGACACCATAATTGCTGTCGCGGTAATTAAGACAAAGTTACACGAAGCAAATCTGGCCAATAAAATTCGTTCAGTTGTTTTTCCCCCAAACATAAACTAATATCACGTTTATGAATTTCACGTGCCATACATACGGGACTGGCGTAATAGAAATATAGAATCATTAACCAAAAAATTAATTGTTTACATTAAATATTTGTTTCTAATGATGTAAAAATGTAAATCAATTAGTATAATTATATACAGGTATTCTGACAAATGAACATTATATATCAAAATATTTTGTAATTTACCATCAAACAATACGTAAGTAATGATTTAAAAAAAAAAATTGTCAACTTTATTACAAATTTCCGTGAGAGAATAATTGGTTTTATATATAGACTTATTTCACCCAGATTTTGAAAAAAGCCATTTAGTAAAACATCCACCAAAAATGAACGTAAGTGTTCGTAGGCTGCTTTATTTTAAAAAATAATTAAAGATAAAGTAATCTGAACCAACAAAAAGATAATAGATTAATGAAAGAAAGTTGTCTTAATGTAAACTTTAACTGCATTTATAGGATGCAAAAGATAAAACATTTATTGAAGATTTTGATAATACGATAGAGCTATTTGAGGCAATAGAGATAGACCCTTCAAGAAATATATCGTATTCCTCAGAGAATCTGGAACATAAAACATCATTATCAATCTTTAATGAGAAGACAGATGTATACTTCTTTTTCAAATTGTTATTATGTACTATGAAAATCTTTTTTTACTCTGTTGTAGTCATCATGTTAATGTCAATCTTTATTAAAAGATTTTCGGCAGTTGGAATAATGAACAGGTTAATACACAATGACCCCGAATGTTTGGTGTTGACAGTCATGTTAACATCTTTGATCGATAAACAGATTTCCTGGGATTTGGATGAAAGTGGATCGTGGGATAAAGTAATCCAACAGGAAAAGGTTAATATACAAAACCCCTCAAATGTGGAGGTCTGCATCGGACCGGGTCCAAATTGAATGTTGGAAAAAAATTTTCCTGAGCAGGATAAAAGTTATTAAAATCAAGCCACGCGACTTAGTAAATCATATGATCGGAACGTGATTTTAATAACAACCGCCATATTGTTCCGGGCCAGCGCATCGTGCCAATGCAGGCCTCTACTCACTTAAAAGATAATTTTAAGAATTTACCTATTTATAGCCAATAGAAGAAGTATCGGAAAGTACTACATCATTTCCTCATCCTTTATACCATGTCGAGACGGTATTTGTTCATCTTCTATTATTTCTATTACATGCCAGGAATTATTGTAAAAATGTATGCTAACATAAACCTTCCGTCTTATAGGCTCGCGCCAGTAAGGAGGATATCGAGCAGGTCAAAATGATTTTGCCCATTTGTATCATGCCAAAATTTATTGCACTCCCGCTAACATTTATTCTTTAGATCACCGAAATCGTTAATCACCTACTGCAGAATGACGACTATATAGTGTTCGGAAATTGGTCATGCCAATGGCCAAATAAGTGCAGAAATGAAAAAGGATGGAGAATCTTATATCTTCGGGAATCACTTGAAACATATCTTAAGTTACCTCCAATACTTCAGCATAAATTTTTCATCAAGCCATGCAAGGAATGCAAAAATGAGAGCCTGATCTCTAGCTTTTTTTTGTACGACCAACTACCAAGGAATTTGGACGTAGGTTGAGTTAATTATGAAATTGTTTTTCCGTTAAGAAATATAATTTCTTATATTCTACTTTAAATTTCCATAGAATGAGCCCACCATCGAGATAATCTGTCCTCATCCCTATTATCATGTCGAGACGGTATTTGTTCAATTTTTATTACATGCCGAAATGAATGCTAACCTAAAATATCCAATTTTATAGACTCGCTCCAGGTCGGAGGATGTCAATCAGGTCTAAACATTACATCATTTTTCACCCTTTTGTGGTATGCCAAAATTTCCGCTAACATTTATTCTTGTAGATTACCGAAATCGTTAATCGCCTACTACAGTATGATGACTATACAGTGTACGGCAATTGGTCATGCCAATGGCCAAGTAAGTGCAATAATGGATTTAGATGGCAAATCCTATATCCTCGGGAATCACTTGAAAAGTTTCATATGTTACCTCCAAGATGTCAACACGAATTTTTCTTCAGAACATGCGAGAAATGCAGAAATAGGAGCATGATCTTGAGCTTCTTTTTGTTCGACCAACCACTAAAGCATTCAAACGTAGGTTTGAGTTACGTAAATTTTTTCCGTTTAGAAATATGATCTTTTATAATCTACTTTAAATCTCCATAGAATGAGACCAACACCGGGATAAACTATTATCATCTCTACAACAATTTTAAAACGGTATTTGTTCAATTTTTATTACATGCCGGTTCCAAGAGTCGGCTTAAAATCGGATTGTCATCAAATTAAAGGTAATATAGGACGAATTTGTTTGATAACCAGTCAAAAATTTTTTTAAATTGATCATAACATGATGCTCTATTAGTATAAATTTAACTTAACGCTCAAAGTTTTAATTTACTTAAAAAGAGTCGAAGTAGAACCGGAGAGGAACCGAAATGGAACCGATAGAACCGTCCCCATTCTAGTTGAAACCCGAGAGTCTTTATAATTGGTATGTGATCCCATGATAAATTACTTGTTTGTTGATTTCTGTACAAATGTACACTCTGACAGATCAATATTAGCAAACAAATTCAAGCTTTTTATCAGATTTAACTATAAACCTAACCTATACTTTAATTAAATAAAAAAGTTTAGATTATAGCTTTACCACATAAATTTTTTGAAAAATGGCAATAAGAACCAAACTTTTTTGCACGCAGAATAATAGTCGTTGCTCCTCGATCTGGAAGACCAACTATTTTAATAAAGCGTAAAGAACGAGCTCTTATACGTGAAAGTGGAAAAGTTTTTCTTAAGAAATTACTATAAACTTAATCTTGCTTAACTTAGTAATATTGTACTAAATAAAAATAATATTTGGCAAAATTGGAAAAAGAAAACCCTTTATTTCAGAAATTGTGTTAATGTCATTTAAAGTGATGAATCCCTGGTTACTTTCATTTGAAAAAATGGATTCCCATAGTAATTATGGAGGCATGGTTTGGGTTATCTTGCTAAAAGTAAGATTGTTGTTAAGGAAAAATAACAGACGCGATATACAAAATTTTGTTAGAAGCCTTTATATAAATACTGGTGAAATATATAGCTTTAATTTCAAGATGATAATGCTCCGGTACATACTGTCGAGCAAATGCGGTACTTTGCATGTAAGAAGAAAATTCGACTTCCATGGCCAGCTCAAAGCCCTGATCTTAACCCAATTGAACATTTATGGAACCATCTTGGAAAGAAAATTTATGAGCATGAACCCTTACCAAAAAACAAGAGAGTACTTATTACAATTTTGGAAGATATTTTTTGAAAATTTTGGTAAATGGAGTTAAGCCGTATTGAAAATAGAGGATGTATTAATAGCAGATTTAGAAAGTTGATAATCGAAGTCTGGCAATATAAATTTATTAAATAATGACGCATTCTATATTTCCTGTTCTGGAATTAATTAACCAACTTAAACGTTCAAAATTTAGGATATAAGAAACATTTGCATTTTTATTTATAGTCTTACTTTAATTTTTTTCAAATCATTCGTATCTGGACATATATACTTAAAAACCATCGTTTCTTTTCTCGATTTTCTTGCGTGTTCTTGTAAACAACACCCTGATATTGCCATATCATGTGACTACATTTTATTAAATTTGTCATTTAATTGCTGTTCCACAGTATACTTTCAAACCGGTTATTAACAAATATATTATTTGGCGCAACGAGTCCACATAAAAAAAAATTTTTTTTTTTTTAATTTTTTCAAAAAATGACTTTTGAACATTTGCAAGAAATTTCTAAAGATTACGACAGATTACTTAAAACTAGTGAAGGACATGATGTTATTATCTTTGCCGGTCAAGCTGAAACTGAAAAAGAAATACGTGCGCATTCAAATATTTTATGTACTAGGTCTCAATACTTTCGCTCAGCATTCTCAAATGAGTGGGCCAAGAAAAAGGATGGAAAATTGGTTTTTAAAAAGCCCGATATTTCCCCAGAATTATTTAAAATGGTTATACGATATATTTATTGTGGAAAGATTGATTTGACGGAATTACAAGGACCTGATATACTAAAACTTTTATTGGTAATAAACGAACTTAACATACAAACTTTAACCCCTTGTATTCAAGAGTATTTAATTAAAAATCAGGAATTTTTACACCAAGATCCTATTGGCATTCTTGAAACAGTCTATCAATATGAATCATTCTCCGAACTTTGGAAATTTTGTCTTGAAAAGATTTGTCGTGAACCTGAATTATTATTTAATTCCGATAAACTGATTAGTTTAAAAGCACCTGTATTGGAATTAATTTTGAAACGAGATGATTTAAACTTGGATGAAATTGTTATATGGGATTGTCTAATTAAATGGAGCCTAGCACAAAACCCTACTATTTCACAAGACGTTACAAAATGGAGCAAAGAAGAATTCACCATGATGGAAAGGGTTCTTAATGGATTAATTTCATTAATAAGGTTTTACCATATTACGCCCGAAAATTTTCTTGACAAGGTGTATCCTTTTAAAGATTTACTACCAAAGGATTTAGTCAAGAACATCTTGGCATTTCACATGACTCCAAACCGGGAATTGAATGTTGATATATTGCCTCCTAGACAAAACTATGTTTCAGTTATAATCAAATTTCAACATTTTGCCTTATATGCCAATTGGATTGATAGGAAGGATGATTTAAGCGATTGTTCCAAAAAGGTTCCTTATTTCTTCAGATTGCTCTACCGTGCTAGTAGAGACGGAATGGATTCAAAGTTTTTTCATATTAAATGTGATGACAAGAAAACTACTATCTTTGTCGCGAAAATTAAAGGCACAAATTAAATCATTGGAGGATATAATCCGTTAGACTGGCATGGCCGTCGTACTTATAAAACTACATCAGATAGTTTTATATTTTACTTTACTGATTATAAAGATGTTAAAACTGGTAAAATAGGTAGAGTAATTGATGGTAAAGAGCAACATGCTATATGTTGTTGGGGAGATTGTGGACCGTGTTTCGGCCGAAATTGTGATATTACGTCTCCGTCTATGGGAAAATGGTATACTAGTATTGAAACATATCCTGATATTAACATTCCTAAAGGATATGATATCGATGATTATGAAGTATTTCAAGTAATAAAAAAGAATTAGTTTAATTTACCCTTATTTCCCAGCGCCTGCATTGCTATTTTATATTACTGCTTATGGAAATTTGTAATCGTATCAAAATTTATTATTATTATTTAAATATATAGTTCAATACTGCGTTTGTATTGTAAATTTATTTAAAACAAATTAAGGGTAACAAGCGGTGTTTAGAATATTGCTATGTGGTAAAGTTATCATGTTTCTTATATTTATTATTATTATTATATTATCATTTATATTTTATTAGTTATATTTTATTATTAGTATTTTAACTTGTATAAATATCATGTATTTTTTCACTTGAGTTGAAAGATAATTGAGATAGGATTTTAGAATAAATCAAAAGTTCAATATAGGAATCTTATCAATTCATTTGCTATTATCTTTTATTGTGTCTTTATATAGGCGTGATTGTGATAAAAGTATTTTATTTAGTTCGACATATTGAATTAAAATGAAACGTTTTCTTTTACAGTTACCACGTCAATAATATAAAAAAATCACTATTAATTTTAATCCATTCTTTATTTTGTGAAATAGAATATATCGAAATACTATATTTTAATATGAACAAATGACCTTAAATGACCCAATAATTTTGATGACTTATTACCGGTCATAAGGTTATGTCAAAAGTCAAATGATCTGTGAAATAAGTTATTAATAAATTTTATAATAAATTATTAATAAATCAAAAATATAAAATAAATATTTATTTTATAATAAAATTGACTTTAATTTAATAATTTATAGATTAAGATAAATTAGAGCTTTCAATGTATCATTAAATAAATTCAATAAATATTATTTGCCAATTAATGCTTATACATTATACTTTTTCTCTTTTCTTTCTTTTATTAATATGTGAATTAGTTTTAGCCATTATAAAGAAACTACAAGTTAAATAAGCTAGCTTATATTATAGCTCAACTCATAGCATAATTCAGCTCATTAACTTGCATTTTTTCTTTAAAGAAATAAATATAAAGGTATTTTTCTTTAAAAAAAACTTATTTTGATATGTTGCTTAAAGAATAATAGCTCTAGTAACATTTTTTAAAAAAAATACATTCAATAACATTTCATTTAAAGAAGAATTAACTTAGTAATATTTACTTAGAGAAATATATCTTGTAGCATTTTATTAAAAAAAAATACACCCAGTAGCATTTTTTTTAAAAAAATGCTTTCATTTTAAAAGGAGTATATGTTGATCATTTCTATTAGTAGATTATTACCTAAATGTTATGTATTTCTTATACTAAATAAAATTTATTTGAAGAAAGCTTTACACTATCACTAATAGCTTTTTAAGAACTCTGAATTTTTGTTTATATAAGAAAATTTGATATTATTGTAAAGTAATAAATAAGTTACTTAAAAATACTTTATTTTATTATATATATAAACTACTTATATCTTATTTATAAATAGTTATATTTTAATTAATATATAAAAGATATTAGAAAGGCTGAAATTAAAAAAAAAAATTTTTAAGATAGTAAAAATTTTGAAAATGAAAGGAAAAGGAGAAATAAAATAGTTTAAAGAAAAAAAAATTCTTATAAAATATTTTATAGAAAAGATTTTTTTTATTTTTAAAGGGTGGAATTTTATTTAAATATTTACTTAGTTAATATAATAGTAATAATATAGTAAATTTACTTATATCATCTTATCAATCATTTATTGATCATATATAAATAAATTATCACATTATATAAAATCAGCTGATTTTAAATTAAAAACTTTAGGCAATACAGCATATGATCAAATGCAAATTCTACAAATCAATATTTTAAATCATATAAAATGTGATTCTAAAATAGTAAATCAAAGATTAGGCATTATAAATAAGTTAGCTTAGAGCTGATATAAATAATTAAATAAATTACATAATAAATTAATTTTTTTAGACTTCTAAGATTTAGGTAAAACTTTTAAATTAAAATAAATAAAAAAATAAATTCTTACATATGTATAAAATATTATATATAATTTGAATTATTAAATACAAAGATAAAATTAGAATCAGAATCAATAATAAATTTATAATTTTTATTGTAATATCTATTATAAGATTATAACTTTTTAAAATTTCTAATATTATTTTTAATATGTTTAGCTTTAAAGATAGATTTGCAATATTGTAATACTTATTTGTTACTTATTGTAACTTATATTTTAATAATATTGCAATTAGAGATTGGAACTGATTCTATTTCTGAAAATCAGTTTTAAATATTTTCAAAAAATTTGACCCAGTTTAAACTAGTTGCAATCAATAACTAGATCAATTCAAGTACTCAGCCTAAATCGAAACTGGTTTCAAAAATCAGTTTGAATCAATTCAATTTTAAATTTTTAATGATGTTAAATATATAATTGACTTATTTATAAAGTTTTTTATTAAATATAAAATATCATTTTCTATTACATTTTAATTATTCTAATGGAGAAAATATATCAAAATGAATACTATTTCTTTTCAAGAATAGTATTTTAATCACTAAATCTGAAGAAAGTTGAGTTCATTTAGCAATAATGTGATTATCTGCATTTGAGAATAATCATTTGCTAAAAACTGATATTATAAAAATTGATAGATACTTTCATACAATTTGTGCCAAAATTGAAAAATTATTCTTATTAACTGCACACC